CCCCCCCCCAAATATACAAATACTTTGAGGTTATTTCAGAGTACCATTTATTCAGTGAATTTGTAGCTGTGTGTAAACTGAGCTGGAAAGAACAACACCAGCCTATTGTTATATGAAACATTCTCTGTGGATGGTGCCAACTTGGAACCTTCAGCTCAAGGAAGTATCCTGTGCTGCAAGTTTGCAGGTGCGTCCTGATCCTCTGCATGCTACCGCGTAGCGTATATATAGTAAAATTGAACGAGGCCCACAAAACTGAAGGGGGAGAAGGGATGGTTGCAAGCAAGCTCTGAGAAATGCCACAACAAAGGTACACCACTATTTCATTTTCACTTCCTGGGGAGGGAGGGAGGGAGACATCAGTACCAGATGGTTCTCAGACTGGAATATACACCAGTGGTATAGACAGAATGGAGAAAACAATGAACTAATAGTTCAGAGAAAATAGCTGGAACATTAACTTCTGACACCCTGTTGTCCCTTATTAAATAAAAAAGGATGCGTTTTGCCATGTGTGAACAAATTGATAAATAGGCTAGAGTAAAAGTAAATAACTTTTGATTATAAATTTCTATGCAAGTTTCCATGAGTTGATATATCAGCCTCGAAAACTGCAGGGTTAGTAGCAATTAGTGATTGTATAATCTGCTCAAGGGAGAACCTTAAACTAGTGAGACTAAAATGTAGTTTACAAAGTCACGTGAAAAAGTTTTAGTACTTGTACCAAGGGCTGAAACTGAACAGCTCAGGGTTGAAAGAGAAAGCAATAGTAAGTGTCTTTTATAGTTAGTTTCTTAAAATAGCTTAAAACTTTTGAGAGTAGCTTTGCTTCTTTTCGAGCTTCGTTTCTGAAAACAGCAGCTTGCTTTGTAAACTGCTTTTTGTTTCATAGTAGGGTTGGGGATTTTTTACAAATTTGTTTATCTAGTGAAAATGATTATCAGAAGATACCACAATGGTACATTTTTGAGGGAAAAGCTGTTTGCAGCCAGGTCTTGCTCTGCAAATTGAACAACTTGTATGTAAATGCAGTATACAAGCACCTTCTACACAAGGGCTAATGGATGTCATAGGTGGAAGCCCTAAAGGAAGAAAGACTACCTGTTTAACAAGATAAATTTCTCAGATTAAAGACCAGATAGAAACAAATGTCAACTTCTTAAATCCCTGCCACTCTCTTGGCATAGCACATTAAATTAATCCCAATAGTTCATTAATGTTACGAGGATGCCTTCACATAATTTCTTAACATAAAAGATGAGACTGTAGTGAACAGAAACTTAGTTGTTCTTACTGAGATATTCTAACAGTTAATTGTGGGAAGTACTAAGATTGCCTAAGGAATTTTCAACATCAAGAGCCTCTTGAAATGCCACAGGATATAAATGTGTCTTCAGACAGGAGAGGACTACCTGATTTCTTGGTGTTCCTGATGGTTTTAAGAAGGTAACTGGCAAATTACAGTGATAGATTGTACTTCATTCATAAGTAAATGCAGTTGGAGTATTTTATAGCAACACCCCTTCTAGTTATGACCTATTCTGATACTCTCCAGTTCCATTCCTGCGTGACTTTGCACTGTACCTGGACCAGCTCACCTGTCCGTGTGCTCTCCACTCCTGCAGTTGTGCTTACTGGATCTCACCTTCCTGGTTGGACTGGGATGTGCTGTCAGCTTTGGTTTACATGTAACTGAACACTCTGGGATTTTTGTTCTAGCTTTGTGCCAGCTGAAGACGTGCTAGGTACTGGATCTCTTTGTCTTTGGAAAGGAAAATGTCAGATACAAAACCTGTTAGCTTGCTGAAGACCTAATAAATCTGCATTTGTTATATGGAATGCTTAAACCAGAAAGACTCGGTATTTAAATAGGAAACTTTGTACTCCAGAACACTTGGGCAATTAAATTTTCCAAAACTTTCCTATTTAATATTTGTCTTAGTGGTTTAAGCCTTTTTTGGCTGCTATAGAATGTTTAGTTTATAAGTCTGGGAACTTCCATTTCATTACCCTACTGAAACTTGTGATGATTTACAAACCTGTATCTGTTTGCAGTGCTGTAAACCTGCCTGTGTGCTGAACTCCTGCTACTCTTGTCTCTCCTCCAGTGCTCCTGGCAACCTTTCTCTTATCAGCAGACGCGGTCATTCTTTTGGCAGGATCCTTCCCCTGGATGAGAAGGTCTTTAGCACAGTGATGGATAGCAGAGCTAATATTTGAACTACAACAAGAAGGGAATGTTTTCAGAAACGTTACCTACAGTGTTTAGAGTGCAGTTGAGTGAAACACTTGTGATCCTGGTAATTTTGCAGTCAGCTTCTGCACTGGTAACTCAAAAGCACTTCCTGGTTTATTCTGAAGCAGTCACTGGGCAAAAAGTAAAATTGAACATCCCTTGCCAGGACAAAATGCCTCGATGAAGTCTAAACATCTGGTTTACCTCTTAGGCTGCACCAGTCCCCACAAATTCAGATCTTGTGACTGAGGAGGTAAAACCTGTGAATAAATTTTTCCATCTCTCCTCTCCTTGTTCCCTTTTTCTCTTCTAATTTACACCCTAATATGCACAGATTAAAAATGCATGTAAACAAAAATATTCACAAAGCTGTTATGTTTTATAGATCCTGTACTTTGTCTGTTACTTTAGACAAAACATTTTCAGGTAGGGATTGTGTTTCCCCTACGTTTTGACAGTTGCCTGTGAGGATTTTAGCAGCTAGTACGTTTTTTTATTCAGCCTTTTTTAGTCATTATTACTAATACGTTTTAAGTGATGCATCATAAACCTTGAAATATTAATATTACATTAATAGATAAGGTAGAATTTACTTTGTGATAACGTCCTCTGTTGCTTTTATCACTATGACTGATTTAGATTATTTTAATTTGAATGGATTTATGGACAACTAAAATTCCAAGCAAGTAGTCACTCAACTTCTACATAAAGTAATCTTTGTAACTGAACTGCCCACAGTCAATATTATGTAAGAAGTAGATGCAGGGACAGATTAAATGGAGTTTAGTTCTTACAGAGGAGTTTGTCAAAGAAGTTCTTAAAATATCTTACCACAAAAAGCGAAGAAAACGGAGACCTTGGCACAGGCTTTTTGAGTTGTAGTTAATATCTTCAGGCAGTTTGTAGAAATTCAGATTTTGGACAAATGATCGCTAATCCTGACAACCACACGTGTCTTACCTTTGGGAAAGAAAAACTGTTTTTTAATGAGCCGCCGCAAGACGCCGTTTCTGTTTCCAGTCTCAGAAGAGCGAGTCGGGTGAGACTGCCCGGCCGTCTGTGGTGGCTCCTGGGCAGGCTGTCCCAAAAACCGCCAAGGGCAGAGACGGGTAGAGCTGTATAAACATCATTAAAGGCGGCAGGAAGGACGGCGGGGGAACCGGGGCG